TACTATACCTATTTTAGAAACCAAAAAATCCCGGGCAAAATTTAATTTAGTATTTACTATAGTATTTTTACTACCAACTAATGTGGGCGCAATTTACAAGCGCCCGTATTTCCGTGTTATTAAAAATGAACAGTTCTAAATAATTGTATAAACGTAGTATAAAATTTACCTGTAAAGTGTATGGTCCGATGATCGCGTGTCTTATTCAACAGGAGCGACAGGAGCACAGGACGCAAATAAGTAGAAAATCAGAAATCTAGTAACATATTATCACCTTATTCCCACCCAACCTTCATTGTATGAAGACGATGACGATCGACAACTTCCGAAGAAATTTATAACATTGTTAAAATTACGTGTATTATTTTCGTATTACATCTATACCTATATATTTTTATTATACATCAATATTTATATATTATAGAGATAATATATATACAATTCCGGCAAAGCTATAATTACTTGGAAGTGACATGTTCTACATTCAATAAAATATTATTGTTTATTACCCGGTTTATTATATAATATGGGATAAACTATACAAGAGTCGAGAGCTTAAAATAGTTTTATGTTCTTTAAATACAGTCCCGAAAATTGTGTGTCGTACGACACACATTGTGTAGTACGAAAAGTGCAGTGTGTAGACGTGTAAGTGTGTAACACGAAATTTAAGTGTGTTGTTTTAATTAAACCTTTATATTATGTATAATTTTATATCTTCACATTTTTTTTATATTTTAATGGTTTTTTTTGGCAAACCACATTTTAATTATTAACACAGACAAACAGTAAACAATTTTTTGTGTTGTTACGTCTTATACCCTTATTATAATTATTATTATTCGTTGTTATTGAGAGTAGCTATTTTTATTATTATTAGCTTAGTACTTTAGTAGTGAACGGTGGTGTATAGTATACTAGTGTTTATCTAGAAATAATTTAGATTTGACCGATTTGGGACTATGTGTGTAGTACCAAAATTTGGATATTTTGGGGACTGTTTAAATATATATACATAATAATTGACATTGGTGTAGTAAGCAAGTTACTACGCAACAATAAAACCAAATTCCACAGGTGCATAGTTATGATAATATACGGTAGACCGGCATAACCAGAAGATTAAGGGACATAAAGGACGCTAGAGTTCAAAAAATAAGCGGATGAAATATTTTACAGGAAAAACTGAACACGACGAAATCCAAATATAAAAGAGTAAAAAAGATTATTTTATAATAATCAAAATGTAGTAATACGTGCAGTCGTAAATGGGTAGGCTGGATTAATGTCCACACAAATAATCACATCCGTGAGAACCAAGATTACCGTATCTGTAGGCGAGGGGAACTTCATATATAAGGGAGCCCGAATAGACCTGTATTCAGAGTTCAGACGTGTACTACCACCCATTAGAGCAAGCACCTTCACGCCACTCTGTGCAGCATTATTTTGGACTTAGTAAAATTATCGAAGTACAATAATAAAAACTCACAATATCATATTATACAACAACTGTTCTCTTATTTATTTAACAACCACGACTACAACATCTGAAGAAGTGTCTGTGACCTGCACATTAACGTACTGGTAGCCACTTACCTACTATTATCACTACGATAGTAGGTACCAAGCACTCAGATCGTTACATTGGCAATTGGCATAGGTCGTTATAATGTGTTGGTCAGTGGCACTAGTGTAGTAGTGTCACATACTTTGTATGTTAAAATATTATGCTGATTAAGTACTTATATTTTGTTTTATACGTGCAAAGATATTTCACATACAATTTTTTTGGCAACAATTTAACCTATAAGTAGGTACTGTACTATTGTAATACCCGGCGAGTCATTTGGTCGATGGTTTAGTATTTGAAAAAGTGATCGAAATCGAAATGTCATATGATCTAATTGTTTTTTGGTCGGAAAACAATTAATGGTCAAATATTTCATTAATATAGTCGAAATGTTTTGTGGTCAAGTGAGTGCTGTAAAGATAATGATTAGATTTTCGATTCCTTTATCTAGTATTTTTATCGATATATTTATAAATCATAGTAGGTAGTAGGTAGTACTTATGCTAATATCTATAATAATACTTATACTTAGTACTTACCAATTATTTTAAAATATATTACATTTTTTTTTTTTACTTAAATTGCTAGCTTAAAAACCTAGCTTAAAAAATTTTTTTTAAAACTTAAAATTATTTATAATAATTAATTCAAAATATATATATTTGACCGGTGGCCGAAAGTCTAGAGATCGAAATACCAATACCTAATAGTAAAATTAATTACATTAATTACAATAATTTATTTATATTATAAAATCTACTTTAATTACAATAATTTATTTATATTATAAAATCTACTTGATATTACAATAGATATCTACATGATATTAAGGGCTAACCGCTGACAGACCGTCTTCGCTGAGAATTGTAATTGAATTCAAATTGAATATATACATAATATAATACATTAGTCATTACAGTTACTCCTCTAGGCTCTAGACACCTAATGTACAGCAGAGAGTTACCCACTTTTTTTCTTATAGACATTAGAATTTGGATTTGGACGAGAATTAGATAATTAAACGCAATTCAAAAATATTATTCATGGGGACTGGGCTCTTTTACATATACAATGCCATTTTCTAAACTTTTAAATTTATTTTAAGCTATTGCCTAACTACCAGGGCTCTTAAAGTCGTAAGTTTATGCCCTAAAAAAATGTATAGAAAAGCATGCTCTCGTGCACTAAAAAGTTCACAAATATACACTAAAAAGACATGAATTAAAAAAAAAGTAATCATTATCAATTTTTAAATCTGCAAGAAATTTCCATTTTTTTTATTATTAATGAGATTTAAATATCCATTTATATGTTTAAAAGTTTTATTTTTAATAATTTTATATTTTGTCTATCCCATACATTTTTTACAGTAAAAAAAATATAAATTATTGAATTTTTCATTAATTGTTGGTTCTTTATAGTATTTTAACAAAAAAAAGTGGCTCTGCTGTACAGTAGGTTACAAGTGGGTCACTGTAATGGATGTTGTTAAATTTGAATTCGATGATATAATATCATTGTAAAAGAAAAACTATTCTGAGCAAAAACGGTCAGTCAGCCTATGATATTACGAAGTACATTTGATGATATTAAGGTGAATAAAGTAATTTATATAATATAACCTATTTACGTGGAATCTTGTTTTAAATTGTCAATCCTTAGCTATAAAAGTTGAATATTTTATACATTTTTAACTACAAAATTATTATTAAATTTTAAATGTGATGAATTTTGTCAATATTTGAACTTTAAATGCTTATAAAAAAAATTTTGACTGTGGATTTTTAATATTTTTCTACTGATATTGAATTTTTTTCATCTGCCTTTGAAACAATATACTAGGAGCCTTCTATTACATTTTCAAGCTTTTTTAACCAACAAATAAAATTGTATTGATATTTAGAGAAAAAAAAACTAAAAAAAATGGAAACTGATTTTTACTTTGACCCCCCAAAGTACCAACTAGATTCACTTTCCTATCAGAAAAGAAACTGTTGTAGAAAATCTAAGCATTTTATTTTGACTGTCCTAAAAGGTGATGACAGATACAAAAAAAAAAAAATTAATTAAAAAATTAAAAACACACATCATTGTAAAATCAATACATTCATCGTTTCACTCAGAATCTAAAATGCTCATTAATATAATATAATCAATACATCAATATAAGGATTTAAAAATTATAAATAAAATATAAAACGCATAAATATACCAAATGGGGAAAAAAACCTCTAAATATGCAAAATAAAACTTCACATTAACCATAGTACCCTGATTTCTATGTCATTTAGCATTAAATACAACTTAGCAAGATTGATATGGAAATACATGACCTTACGAGCCCTGCTAAGTACTCTATTCTACTGTGAGTTGGTATTGACTCAAATTAATAACAATGATATAATTTATTATATAAATATATACCACAATTAAATAATCGATTAAACCTACTGTATTACAAATATTAAAATAAATTACTACAGTAGCGATATTAATATAATATAATAAAATGTACTCGGTAATATATATTGACACACCGTCTCCACTCAGAATCATTTTTCATTGAATTTAAATTTAATAAATAGGAGGTACCTACTCAAACTATTAAATGACAAGGTACACTGGACAGTGGACATATTTTACTTTGCAGCGGAGCGGGCGGTACTAAGTTATTCACTTTTTTTTAAAGTTTTCTTATTCATGACATTTTTTTAAGTCAAATCAAATATATTATGAATTGTAACATTGAGCATGTTAAACGTCACTGTATAGAAATAGCAGATTACAAAATATAATACCTGTAAAAAATTGCTGTTGAAATTATGTATTTAAAGAAAAATATTTTTCTTTTCATTCTTTTATTTACCAATACTGTAAAAAATATCACAATTGAATAAGAATAAGTTCTTCATTTATTTAATAGGTTAATAGTAATCACCAAATAATCTTATGCCATTGCTTTAACAGCACAAGTGTACGTTATAAAATAAAAGAGATAATAGATGGCTCAGCTTAACAAACATCAAATGATAGTTGGTCTTTCATTTTAAGTATTAAGATTTAACATTTACATGATTTTAGATATATAACACATTAAATAGTAATTTTTATTTTAAACTAAATTGGTAGGTAGTATACTATTATAAGTTATAACACATTAAAATAATGTTAAAAATAATATTTCAGACTTTTAACTGAGTTATAGTATTAACTATAGCCACAATATATTAAGTTATACATAAAAAAAATAGTAGTAAATATCATGCTGACAAATATCTAGACTCGTGTCTAGACTATTGGAAATATAAAAATATTTTTAATCATCAGCAATTCTTTAACAATAATAACAAACACGAAATCCAAAAATTAAAGAAATGTGGCATAAATGCATTAATACGATCTATTTGAAGTTATTGGTAAAATTTAATTAATACTGAATACTTAATTTAGCTTGTATGTCATCCAGAATTTGTTGTAATTCATCGTCATCAAATCGACCTTCCAAACTGGGTATAAGTGATTTGGCTTCATCGGCGAGTTGTGGGCATAAGTTACCGATTGACGCCAGTTCAAACTTGTGTAATTTCTTGCCGGCAAGTAAGTTCCTTACAGCAACAATGGTTTCTTTGTTTTTGAATTTGGAACACTGTTCTGTGTAAGTCAAAGTTTTGTTAAAGACTTCAGAAAATTCTTGTTCTTCCTCCGCACTTTCATTTTGGTTCTTGCGAAATTTCAACAACATATTTACCTAGGATAGAAATCAGAGTATTAAACTTGATGGTAAGATGTATAATTTATAAGTAATAAAGGTATACCTACTTCGGAAATAAGCAAGGTTTCAGCGTTTTCAAATTCTTTGGGAAATTGCAATAACGCCGCGTCTTCATCTACAGCAGCATTCATATGTTGAGCCATTATAGTGGATGGTAATATGGTATTTTATAAAATTGAACAAATTAATCGAAGAACCTAGTTATTATATTATTATTTTGTTAATTGTTACAGAGCCGCAAAATCTCAAAACGTTAACACTAAAATACAGTAAACACTAAACATTTTAAACGTGTAGCGACATAAATGATAACGATATCCGATGATATGAACCAACTCAGTGCAGCCAAAATGAAATTAATCAGCAGAATATTGGTTGAACCATTATTACGGCGCCCGTCAATAATAATATTAATATAGCAATTTTCAATGATAAGTATTTTAAATTTTAGAAAATAAAACTAACAAAATTACTATAAAAATGTATTTCATAATAATTCATAATAAACATTTGTATAAAAGACTCTTTATTCATCCATTAGTAATTTAATCACACACACAAACACACACACACACACACACACACACACACTATTGATTGTTACTTGCGGCCCCGTCAGAAATCCAAAAGATGAAGATTGAAATAAGTTTGTAGTCAATTTGAATAGTAAAATGAAATGGTGTTTTATTATAACAATAAATTATAATTTTAGAGTATGTACTGTTTACAGCTCTGGTAGTCTGGTCTTGGCGGCTATGGGTACATCGTATATCTGAATATGCCGTGTTCCTTACCCTCCTATTAAACGATGTCGGCTCCTTTGACATGGCCAATGGCCATTGGCCGGTAAGTGGATTTTATAGGTGTCCTGGCCTCCTGAGCGAGGTCATCAGAAAGTTGTCGTAGCGGATACGCCGCACGGTCCTGTCGCTTCTATAGTGCCAATTTAATTCTAGTTGCCGAATATTAGAAGTTAGTTTGTTTTGCAATTCACGAATTATATGGATTTATTTATTCATAGTTTTATTTAATTAACTGTCATGTAGGTACTAGGTATATAGTAGGTACTATAACAATTAACATGATATTATGATTTATGAATATGATTATGAATATAAATGTGAATATGAATGCCGTTGCCCACAACAACACGCACACATATACGACACACACACACACTCTTTTTCGTAACGGTCTCAGATTATGCAAAAGTTGACTATAATATCTATAATATAAATTATAATATAGGCAATTTATGATATATTTGAATATTTCATCTAAAATATTGTATATAAAGGAACGCTCAGGCTCAATACCAAAATGTACAAGTATTAGATGATGACGTTGTCAATAGTGTCATGTCGATAGGAATTTTATATTTGTAGATGTCAGCTTAATGAGAAACTGGTATCTTAATTTTTTTTCTGTATGTATTGTCGAAAGCATTTAGGTCATAACCAGGGCTCATAAGTTCTTTGATACACATAAAAACATGCTAACTGAGATACAAATCCGTTTCATAACAATAGTAATAATAATATGAAGTTTGATAGTGCAGGTTTATATTTGGCATATAAATTATAATCGATATTTTACAGTCGTTAGTGAATATTATTTAATAAAAATATTTTTTAAGACAAATATTTGAGAAGTTTCTTGTTTCTTATTTACTTTCCCGTTCACAAAATTATAGTGTTTTGATTTATTTTTATTCTAGTGTGAGTGTGTGACTACCAAGTGTCCTAACTCCTAGTACATACCTATTTAGATTTTATGCGTTTTACGTAGTACAGTGGAAACAATGTAATCGCTACCACTACCATCCTCCAACGTATAAAGTTCGTCGTTGAAGCGAACCTGTACAGGCATGTACACGCGTGCAGCTCCTCACAACTATAATAATTTTGTAGATTGGTACAAACATTTTTTCTCAAAAATGTAGTTTTAGACAATCGCCGATCTTTTAAGTTGGAAAACATGAAAAAAAAAAGTGGGCAAGTGGGTGTTGCTCTGCTGTACAGTAGGTTACAAGTGGGTCACTGTATAATGGATGATATTAAATTTGAATTCAACGATATAATATCATTGTATAAGAAAAACGATTCTGAGCGGAGACGGTATGTCTTTCTAGGTATAAGACATATTATATACTTATCTATGATATTAAAAAAAGTTGACCTATAATGAATTCCAAATTAATCATATCACAATATCCATTAGGTACTTATAACGCGTTAAACACCAACAACAAACCCTGATACTATCAAAGATATATAGTAGTATACTTTAGAAGTTTCAAGTACCTACCCACGAATAATATTATACAATCACAATTCACAACAAAATAACTAAAATAGTTATTATAGGTTTTTTATTATGTAATTTCGTCCAAATTTGAATTTTAAATGTCTGTAAAAAAATAACTGTGTTCATATATTTTTTAGATTTTTTGGTTACAGTATGAACTATTTATGAGAACCTTTGTTTTAAATTTGCAATCCTTAGGTATGAAAACTGAACATTTTATAATTTATTAATTACAATGATTGATAATTTTCGAGATTTTGATAAATTTTGTCAAAATTCGATCTTTAAATGCTTATAAAAAAAATTGTGCCAATGTATTTTTAAAATTTTTCAATTGCTATTGTAACAATATATCAGGAGCCATGTATTAATTTTTTACACTTTTTGGCCCAACAGATAAAACTTTATTGATATTTATAGAAAAAAAAACTAAAAAAATTGAAAACTGAAAATGTCCATAAACAGCTCAAAAAAAGTCAAAAAATTCTCAAAATTGTACAGTGTATAGGAAATGCTAATTTACACATTTAGTGAAATTTTCATGTATCTACAGTTATTCGTTTTTAAATTACAACAAAATAAGGAAATCGCTACATGAGAAATCAAGTGAATATCCAATGTTGTAAAAATTTGAATTTCAAACGCTCATAAAAATTTAATTTGACTTTCTTAAAGACATTTTTGTTTTGATAAAGGTAGATAATCTTATAAGGAATCTTGTATTACATTTTCAAATCTTAGATTTAAAAAGAAAAATTTTTACGAATTCTTAACTCAAAATAATTTGCTCATTTTCGTGATTTTTCCATATTTTGTCAATTTTTGAACTTTAAATGCATATAAAAAAAAATTGTGACTAAGGATTTTTAATATTTTTCATCTGCCTTTGAAACAATATACTAGGAGCCTTCAATTAAATTTTCAAGCTTTCGCAACCAACAAATAAAATTGTATTGATATTTTTAGAAAAAAAACTAAAAATAAATGGAAAATGAAAATGTCCCTAAACAGTTCAAAATAAATCAAAATATTTTAAAAATTTTATCGTGTATAGAAAATGCAAATAAAAACAAACAAGTGAAAATTTTATGTATATACGTTCATTTGTTTTAAAGCTACACCAAAAACCAAAATCGATTTTTTGGAAAACCGATTTTGCGTAAAAATTCCCGTTTTTCCTTAATTTTTATGTTGTTTTTCCCGGCGCTAGTGAAAACTACTAGGAAGTTTTTACTTTTGACCCCCTAATGTACCAACTAGATTCACTTTCCTATCAGAAAAGCTACTGTTAAAGAAAATCCAAGCACTTTTACTTTCGTGATGACAGATACAAAAAAAAATAAAAAATAAAATAAAAAAATAAAAAAAAAACACACATCATTGTAAAATCAATACATTCATCGTTTCACTCAGAATCTAAAACACTAATAATACAGTGTAAAATCTAAAGTAAATATATTTTTTATAAATATTATACTGTAACGTGCTGGACAGCTTGGTGCCTACAATATAGTATAAATAATAGACAAGTGGCTACCAGTACGTTAACGTTGATGGTTACCAGTACGTTAATGTTATATCGTCGTGTTCAGTGTTTCTGTAAATATTACATCCGCCTATTTTTGAACCCTTCATCCTGAGTTATTCAGTGAGCTTTAGGCTTAAAGGAGGAAACCCAACCCATTTCCGTTCTTAATGTCCGACTATGCCGGTCTACCGTATATTATAATAACTATGCACCTGTAACGTACTGGGTAGCTTGGTTCCTACTATTGTAATATAAATAATAGACAAGTGGCTACCAGTACGTTAACGTTGCAGGTAGCAGACACTTCTTCAGATGATGTAGTCGTGGCTGATGATTAAATAAGATAAACAGTTGTTGTATAGTTGTGAATTTTATTATTACACTTCAATAAGTTTACTAAGTCCAAATATTGTCATACAAAGTGGCGTGAAGGTGCTTGCACTAATGGGTTGTAGTACACGTCTGAAAACAGGCCTATTCGGGCTCCCTTATATATGAAGTTCCCTGTGCCCCTCGCCTATAGATACTGTATCATGGTTCTCACGGATGTGATTTGTATACGGTCATTATTCCAGCCTACGCATTACGATTGAACGCATTACTAAATTATGACTATATTATTAAATTAATCATTTTACTCTTTTCCGTATGAACTTCGCCGTGTGCACTCAGTGTTTACCCTATGATTATTATAAAATAACCACCTTATTCTTTTATATTTTGGATTTCGTTGTGTGTGCCCAGTGTTCCTGTAAAATATTACAACCGCCTATTTTTTAACCCTAATTTCCTTAATATCTGGTTATGCCGGTCTATCGTATATTATAATAACTATGCACTCATGAAATTGGTATTACTACGTAGTAACTGGCTTACTACACAGCTGTGAAATTGGTTTTATTGTTACGTAGTAACTTGCTTACTACAATACTAAAATATCTCAAAATCAAATACCTATAATATTTCATTCCAAATATTTTCATTGTAGGTGCAGGATAAGGATGTACACAAATTAGACAAAAAATTACTACCTAATAAATTACAATTTATAAAGATGACAAAGCTATTTGAACTTCACAAGTATAAATTTTATTTTTTATTTTATTAATTTTGTCTGTTAAAATTCTAAATACATACAAATTAAAAGGAATAAAATACTTTTAAAATTTATTTACTTATTCTTATTATTTTAAAATTTGATTTTTTTACATAATGCATATTTTGAGTGCATAATTTAAAAATGTTGGGGTATTTAAATGCATATTTTCGAAGTTTTTAGTGCATATTTTAATGCATATTTTGACAATT